GTCTCTTCCTGTAAGAAATTTTACTTTTCTCGACCTAAATATTCCATTTTTATACGTTTTTGCACACATGCAAGCTACAAAAACGCATGTTGGGAAAAGGCTGTGTGTGTATGTGTGTGCGTGTGTGTGTGCGTTCGTGCGTGTCTGTGTGTGTCTGTGTGTTCTCACTTTCTGTCATCCACTTTCAACTCGAGAACCAGAAAAGCTAGAAGGCTGAAACTTTGGAATTATGTGCCCACACCATGCGAGACCCTTCCGTTTTAATTTCATCCCGTGCAGATGCCTGGGTGCCGCGTACGGACACTTTGAAAAAATATGCAAATTTTCGGCGGGAAAGCGATCTTGGGAACCACACGAGCTAAGAGGCTGAAACTTTGTAGGGATATCCCCTGTGCTTGTGCTAGCTAAAGATTTCAAATTCAGCTCCCACAGGTATGCGTAGTACTCACGTAAGGGCGTATAGAAGTTTTAGCGGGAAAATTGCTAGCCCGGGAACTAGGAAAGCTAGGAAGCTGAAATTTTAGGGAGATATTCACTGTTCAAGTGCAATTTAAAAATTTCAAATTCAGCTTTCCAGTCACGTGGTGTACCCATGTACGGCCATGTAAAAGTTTTGGCGAGAAAATTGTAAACTCGGTAACCAGAAAGGCTGGAAGGCTGAAATTTTGGAGGAATGGTCCCTGTCCAAGTACAGCTTAAATATTTCAAATTGAGCCCTAATTATGCTTTGTATTCACGTAAAAGCGTATGAAATTTTCTGCGGGAAAAGTACTAACTCGGATTCAGAAAAGCTAGAAAGCTGAAATTTTAGAGGAATGTTCCCTGTTCAAGTGCAAATTAAGTGTATTAAATTCATCTTTGAGGTATGCGCAGTTCTTATATACGGGCAGTTAAAATTTTGGCTGAATTTCTGAGTGAATAACCAGGTTACTTTCAAAGAACGATCGCTAAATGGAAATTGTATATTTACTTTGTGCAAAATTTATGGTGATTTATGCTAGTGACCGCAAAAGGAAGGTGTAAAGCAATAACCATTCATACAGTTAATGACTTGAGTACTTCGAGTTCGGTGCAAAAACATATGATCACACTGGCCCGCCCGGTGCGTTCTACCCTTGGTTAACTTAACTTTGCGCCCTATTTATGGCTTCAGTGTTTCGCATTCGGACAAAAGACACAACATTTCCCCTAATTCTTTTTTTCCTAGCTCTTCGTCCCTACTTCCCCACCTTCTATTCCTTCTCATAGGCAAGTCAGTAGCATACACACAGACCGCCAACTTTTTTTTGTGGCTTTACCTCTTAGCATTCTGAAAATGGTGGATTATTACTGTTTACAGACATACAGATGTAACTCCTGAAAGTGCAATAAACAAGATGTTTTGGCAACGTGTAAGTCAGAT